ATCTAATGAACAGAAAATAGTGAAATTCACAAGAAATAATTCTTGTGCCTACGTTTTAGAAAAAATTGGGAAGACCATAGCATTGAAGATCAGCATGGAAACCATGCAAGACATCTGAGGTGAGTTGCGTTCACAAGATAAAAAAGTCGCAATCCCAGGACAGAATTTTAGTAGGTCATGAACTTTATTTTATTTTATTTTTTTCAACGTTTATTTATTTTTGGGACAGAGAGAGACAGAGCATGAACGGGAGGGGCAGAGAGAATCGAACAGGAATGGGAGCAGGCTGCTCTGAGCTGGCCATCCAGCCTTGAGCCTGGCGACGTGGGGCTCGAACTCTGAACAGATGACCTGGCTGGTAGGGCCTAACCGACTTCGCGCCCCACCAGAAGCCCAATAGGTCAATAGGTTTTAAAAAAAAAAAAAAAATCCAGCTCCAAATCTATTTATTTAGAATTTTAAGAAAGTTTTCAAAAACTTGACTGAGACATTGAATGTTTGAAGCATAATTCAGTTAGGAATGATTCTAGGAAGACCCCATACATAACAAATAGTAATGAACAGTGAACATGCTGAGGTCACTTCCAGGGCATTTAATGAACTCTAAGACAATCCACAGAGGGTAGAAAAACTTCCTGTATACTAAAATGAAGTTAGTCATCTAGTTATAATACTTACTAGTTGCTAATAACAAATCACAAATAAACATAACATTGATAATGTACTTCTGACTTTTAACAGAAATCCTGTGACAGATTCTGTGAAAGCAATGAAGGAAATCAACACAGAGACACGTGCAGCCACTGTCCCCATCTTAATTCCCGCAAGAATATTTCTACTGGAGTAAAACTCTATGAATGCACCAAGTGTGGAAATGGCTTCATACATCTTTCTTCCCTTAAGAGGCATGTCAGATCTCACTGTGGGCAAAAACCATATCCATGTCAGGAATGCAAGCAGGCCTTCATTTGTCCCACAAGCCTGAGAACTCACACTGGAGAGAAACCCTATGGGTGTAAATTATGTGGTAAAACCTTTCTTTATTTCTGCTCCCGCACTCAACATATCAGGATTCACACTACAGAGGAAAACAATGAATGCAAGCAATGTGGGAAAACCTTTCATGAATTCTCCAGTCTCACTAGACACATGAGAACTCACACTGGGGAGAAGCCATATAAGTGCAAGGAATGTGGGAAAGCCTTCATTTATCCCTCAATCTTTCAAAGACACATGATAACACACACTGAAGCCGTATGAATGCAAATTATGTGGAAGAGACTTTTACCATTCTTACTCCCTCACTCAACATAGGAAGATACACACTTCAGGGGAAAACCTATGAATGCAAGTGGTGCAGGCAAGCCTTCAGTCAGTTCTCAAGTTTTACTGGGCATGTGCAAATGCACACAGGAGAAAAGCCATATAAATGTAAGGAATGTGGAAAAGTCTTTATTTATCCTTCAGTCTTTCCAAGACACATGATAACACACACTGGAGAGAAGCCTTGTGAATGTAAGTCATGTGGGAAAAGTTTCTGGCATCCCTACTCCCTCTCTCAACATATAAAGAGTCACACAGGGGAGAAAACCTATAAATGCAAGCATTGCGGTACAGCCGTCCCAGAGATCACCAGTCTTACCAGACACATGAGAACTCATACTGGGGAGAAGCCATATAAGTGTAAGGAATGTGGGAAAGCCTTCAGTTATCCTTCAACCTTCTGAAGACATGTGATAACACACACTGGGAAGAAGCCCTGTAAGTGTAAACAATGTGGAAAACCCTTCAGTTATTCCCAGTCTTTTCAAAAGACACACTAGAGAGAAGCCCTATGAGTGTAAGGAGTGTGGGAAAGCTTTCGGCCCTAGACCATCCATATACATGTGGGAGTGCAAACTGGGGAGAAGCTGTTTAACTGTGGGCACTGTGAGAAATTGTTCAGTTCCCCCAAGTCCTTCCAGGGGCATGTGAGAACCCACACTGGAGAGAAACCTTACGAGTGCAAACAGTGCGGGAAAGCCTTCAGTTGGCCCTCAACCTTTTGAGAACATGTGAGAATTCACACTGAAGAGAAACTGTATAAACGTAAAAATTGTGGGCGAGCCTTCACTTCTTCCAAATCCTTCCAAGGCCACGTGCGGACCTACACCAGAGAGAAGCCTTATGAATGTACACAATGTGGGAAAGCCTTCAGCTGGTCCTCGTCCTTACAGAAGCACTTGAGGATGCACACGGGAGAGACACCCCACATGTAAACAGTGTGGGAAAGCCTTCAAGTGGCCCTCATCCTTTCGAAACTATGTGAGGATGCACACTGGGTAGTAGCTCCAGAAAGGCATGGAATATTTGAAAAATTTGTTAAGTCATACTTTTTAGAGGGGAGTTCCATAATTGTAAGTAATGTTGGAAAACCTTGCACTGATTTATATATAATACTCCAGAAAATTCATGCCAGGAAAGAAATATAGAAGATATAAATATGGTATTGTGTTTGTCATTACCTCATTTAAAAAATGGACCCCTGGGGCGCCTGGGTGGCTCAGTTGATTAAGCGTCCAACTTCAGCTCAGGTCATGATCTCGCGGTCCGTGACTTCGAGCCCTGCATCGGGCTCTGGGCTGATGGCTCAGAGCCTGGAGCCTGCTTCCGATTCTGTGTTTCCCTCTCTCTCTGCCCCTCCCCTATTCATGCTCTCTCTCTCTCTCTCTCTCTCTCTCTCTCAAAAATAATAAATACACATTAAAAAAAAATTAAAATAAAAAATGGACCCCTACGAGTGCCTGGGTGGTTCAGTCAATTGAGTGTCTAACTCTTAACTTCAGCTCAGGTCATGATCTCACAGTTTGTAGGTTCAAGCCCTGTGTTGGGCTCTGTGCATGGAGCCTGCTTGGGATTCTCTGTTTCCCTCTCTCTGTCTCTGCCCCTCCCCTGCTCTCTCTCTCTCAAAATAAATAAACTTAAAAAAATGGACCCCTAAATAGTGAATTTCCAGTTCTTTCACAAAAAAAATGTTCATGTCAGAAATAACTCTCCAAGTCTTTCAGCTAGAGTGCATATGTTTGAATAGTGTTCCCCCGATTTTCCCGTTTTTCTTTCTTTGTAGTTTATTTGAACCATAGTAATTTCAAGTGCGCTTTTAATGTTACAGAAAGGTGCTTTTTTTTTTTAAATGTTACAGAAAACTTAACTCTTCTGTATTGTAGGTAAGTGCCTGACAGTACATCCACTTCAAAGCTCCATCTGGAATAAACCTTGCTGGTTGTATAATACAGCTGCCAATAGAACCAATAGGTAGGGAACCACCCTCCACCCTTGACACCAACATATGTAGAACACCCGGTGTGCATGCTCTCTGTACTCACAACCTTGCTATGTGGCCCAAGTGTGCTATGTACTCTCCAGGACTTGTATTAAACCTAGTTCTTGTAAGTTCCATGATGGCCATTGGTGAGGTGCATCTTACAGTCATATGAAGAACCACAAGGAACAGTCCAGTCACAACCCTAGCTCTGGATGGGATATGTCTGTGGGGGCTCACCGCAAGTAGTATGGCTCAGGGGAGTGCCCCCAGGCATTCCTAGCCAATAGCATGGCTACTGACAGGCTGAGATGAACAAAACCGTAGTTTTTCTGTATCATTATAACAACAGAACTTTAGCAATTTTCTTACTGTCCTAGTATGGCACATAGTGGATATCACTTCTGTATTTTTCTTACTAAAATAGTCTTGTTTGATGCAAAATTTGGTAAGTATGCAAAACTCTACAAAGAGCAATCTTTATCTCCTGCAGTTTTCTCTTTTCCTTACTTCTCCGCATGACCTGGACAGTAAGTTTTGAATTAAGAATAGAGACCTGTGACATAATGAAATGTATAGATGGAGTTGGAGATGGTTATACCGGATTTCATTACACAATTTGTGGGTAAGTCTGGGAATATTTCCCTAAATGTCTGCCCCACAGACTTCTCGGTTCAAATTCATTAACTGTCAAATATGCATGAGACATACAAAAAGCAGACTGGACACTGACTTCTAGACTATTGTAGTGATTCCTGCCCCTTTTAATCAAGAGTACCCTCAAAACAGACAGCGAGCACTTGACTTTCATTCTCAGGCTGTCAGCATTTCCATGTCATCCCCAACATGGATACTAAGAAATGTTCTTTTTTACTTTTCACTCTGGGGATATATTAAAACATCCCATTGCGATTATGGACTGTGAAATCAACTAATTACCAACTTAGGCAACACTTATTCTGTCAGGGTTACTAGGTTTGTACAAATTCAAGGACTTTTCTTTCTGGTATGATTTTATTTTTTTTAAGTTTTTATTTATTTTGAGAGCAAGTGTGTGCATGCAAGTCGGGGAGAGACAGAGAGAGAGAGAGAGAGAGAGAGAGAGAGGGAGGGAGACTCCCAAGCAGGCCCTGTGCTGTCAGTGTGGAGCCTGATGCAGGGCTCAAACCCACAAATCTTGAGATCATGACCCAAGTCGAAACCAAGAATCGGATGCTTAACCGACTGAGCCACCCAGTCGCACCTTGATGCTATTTTCTGAGCAGCCCTCATATACCCAGCATTTTAGTCTCAAAATGTATACAGTTGGGTTTAAAGCTAACCAGGACATCCTAGGCCCTGGATGTAGAGGCATGACACAAACAAGTGTTAACACTCCTGGTCTTGTATTTTTGTGAGAAAAGATTGTCAACATGGCAAAGGTGTGGTTTATAAGGAAATAGGGACCTTTCAGGAAAGCAAACTGTGGCAAATCAGATAACAGGAAATGCATGGGGTGCGATGTATATTTTCTGTATGGACAGTAACAGTTGCAGTGAGGAGCTCGTCATTAATTCATACAAACACACTGAATAAATTGTGAATGAAGTGTTTCAGGAACTGTTGGAAGTACTTGTAAATATTGGGAAGAAATACTTACAGCTGTGAGTTTGTGGAGTTTACATGAATGACGTTGCATGAAAATAAAGGTAGGGGCATGCTTCAAGCTTAAAATCTTGATGGTTAAAAGTTTTAGGCCACCTGATGTACACTCAGACTTTGGAAATGGGTATTACAGATCAGGGTCTTTCCAGTGTGGGTGTGAACTCAGAGTTGCAAGCTGCGTTTGTAAAAGCTCTTGCCTTGGCGTACCACTCCCCTAGCCTCTCCTGCATTCTAGCCCATGATCTTGCTTGGCAGCCCTAATGCCAACACTATAAATGCTGAATTTACTGCTCGGGGTCTGAGTAAATTTGTAATGATTAAAAAAAGGAGGGGGAGGTCGCAGGCTTTCTGTTTTGTGCTCTTGCTTCTGGATCGACGCGTGGATGGTAAAAACAGACATAAATGTTTGCAGCGATCATCTGATACACAGACCGACTGTACTGCTAACTTGTGATTCCTACCAAAAGCTGTTCGTTTGGGGAGGGCACAACACAGGGACAGTGGCCTCTCTGTCCACCCCTGACATCAGGCTCTGATGTCACAACTCTCATCACAACTCTCATCTGCTTTCTGGAAGCCTGACCCACCTCCCTTGCCCTTCCTCCTGGTATGCACACTGTACTAAGGTGGTGGTCTCCAGAAACATACTCCTCTCTTCTGGGCTGCTTGCTGGATAAATCATCAGGACAAAATGAGTGGAAGGTTGTGCAAATTCATTTTTGAAAACTTAGCATCTCGTCCTGAACAACTTTTAAATGGGATGTGTCTGAATAAGTTGTATCAAAATGTTTTCCATGGAAATGTTGTTATTCCTCTTCTGCACTCCTCTTCCATGGGAAAGGTCTGGATGAGAGGAGGGGCTGGTTTTGAAATGTCATGTTATAATGGCTAAGTGGGACACAAGTCTGGTGTCTAGTGAGGTGATGGGGAAGGCAGAGGCCAATGTCAACCTTGTTTCTCAGAATCCTTCCTGAAGGAAACCTCACGCCACCTTTCTAAAGTGCTGTGAGTGTCTGAGCGCAGATGGCTGGGCTGACCCATGTGAGTCTGGCTGGCACTGCCTGGCTCTGTTATTCCCATATGGAGCACCTGGAGACACTGTCCAGGCGAATGAAGCAGGGGGTCAGGGCAGGCAAGCCATCTGGGAGTGAGGCAGTCCTTCTAAAGTCAAGGACTGAACTAAATTATCTGGGCAGGACAGAGAACTCTAGAGGCAGAAGGGGCCACGTTAGAAGCCACACAGGGACCTCTGAGCCTGAACTGCCTGATGCACCAATGTGTGCTCAGGACACCCTGACAGCTGTGCCCTCTCTGCCTCCTTTGGGACTGTACTTCCTGTGTGTGTCACATGTGCTGACACTGCCTGAGCTGTGGGAGACATTCAGGTCAACTTCCAGTTACTGGGCAGAGTTGTGTTGTGTCTGAATTGATAGGCCAGCCAAAAAGGTGGATACAGAAGTTTAAGGAGGAATCCAGCTGGCTTTCTAAGAAAAGCCTTTCTTTTTTCCAAAGTCCACTATCCTTAAACATCATAACAGAGATCAGCACTGGAAGATGGTCTCATCCTGCCATATGGTTCCCACTGATAACTATTTTGCTGTAAACCAAGGGCCAAAGGCCTGGACTGTAGACAAGAGTTAACACAGCAGGCCCGACTGCTGTCCTTTGAAAGGTTGGCTACGTCTATACTGTTTGTATAAGCAATGTAGTTCAAGCAGAACTCCTGTCCTCCTTCTGGGAGTCTGGAATGTTGGCATGTGACAGGCAGTCAGTACTTGTGTGAGCAGTTCCCTGATACAAACCTTGGCACTGTTTCTGTACTGAGCCTCCCTGGCTGGCAACAATTTACATGAGCTGTCACAAAAAATTCATGAAGTGCACCCTGTGTGCCTCCAGTGGGAGAACCCAAAAGCTTGGGCCTTGCTTCCCAAACTTGGGCCCATGGACCTATTCCTCTCACTAATCTGCCCCTGTATCCTTTCCCTATGAGAGATCTTGGCAGTGACCGTGACTAGATGCTGAGTCCTGTCAATCCTTTGGGAATGCTGTGGCCATGAAACAAAAGCCCAGCCCAGTCTTTCCTATGGGGAATTGTAATCCTTGGGCCTCAGCAGCATGTCTCTCTCTCTCCAGGGCCTGTCCCAAGGTCTCCTCGAGCTCCAGTGTTCCCATAAGGAACCGAAGTGTCCTCCTGCTGAGAAGCATCATTAGTGATGCACAACTGCACCCACTAGGGAGCAGGTCTCTGTGGCATGAGGTGCGCAGGCTGGAACAGTGGCAGAATCCATGTCACAAGGACACACACTCCTCAGCCACAGCAATCCCCACGGCCACACAATCAGCTCAACACATGCACAGTCACATCCAACAGTGTCACGAC